ACATGGGCACCTTGATTGCCTTGAATGATGGGAGGTGGTGGAGCATAGATTGGCCTTGATATTCCCAATGGAACTTGGCCTTGTTGTTGTGGTGGGTGAATGAATGGCCTAGGCATGCCTAATGGTACTTGCATGTTATCATAATGCACATTTGGGTGGATGATGCCTTGTTGGTCTATGTGACCAAGGTCCTCCACATAGTCCTCATTATATCCTTCCATTGATAAAATGGATTGACTAGAACTTCCTCTTCCCCTAGGGTTTCGAACAACGGATTCAAGATGAAAATTTAAAGGGACAAGAGTAGGTTTCAATGATCTACGACCATGCATGCACAACAAAACACAACAAGCAACAAGTAATGAACAAACACTTCACCTTCGCAACAAATCAACAATCAACAAACTTCCTCCACATACAATGTTCCCATACTCCCATGCTATCAATAATATGCAAAGAAAAGTAAAATTGCCTCCACGTGGGCTCATAATTTATCTAAAAATTGAAATACAAGCCTTTACGCGGGCCAACGATTTAACTAGAGATTGAGTTAAGAAAGAGCTCATAAAGGGTCCTTTAGCACTTCAATTCAATTTTCAATTTTAGCCTTGCAAATTTTTTAGATTTTAGCTTTTTCCTTGCTTTTGCTTAGCTCCTTGCTTGAAATGCTCCTTTGCTCACCTTCTAGCTCAATGCACCTAGTCAAACAAGAACCAATACAATAAGTAACCAAAATGAAAATGAAAACAAAGTAAAGACACGATCAAAAGAGTATTAATTCCTAATTGATTCCACAAATGCGACGTTGCCTTCAATCAATCCGCGGCAACGGCGCCAAAAACTTGGTATTGGTGTCATCCCTAATCTAAAGTTTGTGCACTAAAAGATAGTGGTGTAGGGCTATGATGAATGTGGCCAAGTTTTACATTTAGAAATTGCCACTACTACCTTTCACTAAAAATATAGTTAGGGCGAGTAGGGATCATCCTAAAGGGATTGGTGGGTCGTATTAGGTTGTGGAATCGAGATTAGGGTTAGTAGGTCGAGTGATCAAAAGATTGGTTGGTGGTTGAGTTACACTAAGATGCAATTTAAACTAAAGTAGGCAATTAAATGTAATGGAGAGAAAATAAGAAAGAGATCTTGGGGTTTAGAGATCACCACTAAGCATAGCTTTCTACACCCTTAATGAATGATTAATGAGGGGGGAAACATGTATTGCAACATAGTGTGTGTGTGGTTGTTTCAACAAGCATGGATGACAAATTAAGCATATATCGTCTAAGCAACATGGTGGATAGCACAATATCAAACTAAGCCATTAATCCTTTCTTTAAGCTCACAATCCAAACACATCACAAGATTAGAGATATATGCTATTTGCTTTCATAAGTATGAAATATCAAATAACAAGCATGGATTGTCATCCCATTTAACATCTAAACTACAACTACACTACAATTAAGCTAATGACATGAAATTAAACTAATTAAACTAAAGGAGAGGAACAATCCATTGAAAAATGAGTATGAACCATCAAATAAACCACAAGAGCATTCCAATAAGCACTATGTCTTGACAATCTTTAGATCTATAGCATTAATATACAGAGACATGCATCAATAACACAAGAAATAGAGACAAACACATGAATATCTATTCTAACATACATAGACATATGGATAGAATGAGATGATCAATTGGAAGCATTAAACAACACAAATCATTGAATAAACAAGATCTATATATATATAAAAGTGTCAAAACACGTATCACAATACAAATCCCCAGAAATCAAGATGTAGAAAGTATGCTTAGAGCTAACTCTAGCCCCAAGAAGATGTCTAGCCACTCATAGATGGTGTCCTCCAACCCTCAAGGGCTAACTCCATGGTAGAGATTACTCCTCTTCTTGGTTGATGGAAGAACTTCAAGCTTGTGTCTCTAGCCTCCTCCTTTCTTTTCTTCCTCTCTAAGAATATGGAAATTGTGTCTCTAGTGTATGTATCTACTATCTAGTTTATGCTCTCAAGAATGGCTCATATTCCTTATATAGGTAGGTTAAAAGTCACCCCCAATGAGCTGGGCTTGTACACCAATATTTCTTCCAATGATTGGATATGAGACAACTTTTAATGAGCTGGAAATTGGATTTTCTCGGGCTTTGGGAAGTTCGATTGATCGAACTTGTGGTTCGATCAATCGAACATAACTGAGATCTATCGAATTTATGCTGGATCGATCCTCTATGGTGGCGTCTTTTTGGATAAAAATAAATCTGAGATATTTTGAAGATATTTTTGGGAAAGAGACAAATGTGGTTGGTAGGGTGGTATAAGTGGATAAGATGAAATCTTTTCGATCGATCGGAAGAAAGTTGGATCGATCAAACTTTGTGGGATCTTTGGATAAGGACAAAAGAGCTTAGATCCATCTTGAAATGCTGAGATCGATGAACTTTTGGTCGCTCAAATATTTTCTAAGATCGATCGAACATGCTGAATTTCCACCACTTGCTTCATTTTGCTCCCACTTTGTTCCTTTCTTTGATTCATCTCAAGATTGCTTCAATTATGCTCTTATTTAGCTAAGTTAGCTTATTTTGGGGATAAGTACCTGAAAATGGAAATAGTACAAAATCAATCTAAAGCGGGAAAATAAAATAGATAAAGGTCCTAGAATACCTAAGCTTAAAGGGTTTAAATGCGCATTTTTCAGCGCTTATCAATGTGCCAAAAAGATTGACCTAAGGAATGACTTTAATTCAGTGAAATGGGACTTCATCATTAGTTACATCACACTTATGAATTTCCCTCCCAAATTCATCTCACTTTTACTAACTTGCATTTCATCTCCATCATTCACCATTGCCTTAAATGGTGAGTTTCAGGGCTTCTTCAAGGGTAAAAGAGGGTTGAGACAAGGTGATCCTATCTCACCCTTTTTATTTGTCACTGTGATAGATGCATTGTCATCAATTATCAATAATTTTTTGGATAAAACACTTGCCTTCAAATATCACTGGAGATGTGTTGCCCTCAAAATTACTCACTTATCATATGCTAATAATTTTTTACTGTTGTGTCATGGAGACATCACTTCTGTCTCAGTGCTTAAATCTGTTCTTGACCATTTTTGCTCAATGTTTGGACTTGAGGTCAATCTCTTCAAAAACAATGTATTCTTTTATGGAATTGAGGATGATATTTCTAGCCTATTTGGTATTAGAGTTGGTGCTCTACCAATCAAGTATCTTGGAGTTCCATTATTAACCACCAATCTCAAATAATCTCATTGCAATCTTCTGATTTAAAAAATCACTCACAAAGTATCTCATTGGCCATCTAGATCACTATCAATGCAGGAAGGCTTTAACTTATTAAAGCAGTCCTTGTCTCAACTCAAATCTATTGGTCCAACATCTTCATTCTCCCAAAAGCTGTTATTAATGAGATGAACAAAATCCTAAGATCCTTCCTTTAGTCTGGACCTAAAATAAATACTACAGGTGCTAAAGTTACTTAGGGTAAGATATGTAGTCCTAAAGATTTAGGGGGGTTGGGAATTCCTAAGTTGGAGATGTCAAACAAAGCTGGAATTCTAAGATACATTTGGGAGCTGCAAAATGATGAAACATATATAATATGGATTAGGTGGTGTAAAACTCACCTCATTAAGTCTAGGAATTTTTTAACTCTCGAGATATCACAACTATGTTTTTGGAGTTGGAGAAAGATCTACAACTTAGATACTCCTCATGAAGCACAGAATTGGCAATGGCAATGATAACTATTTTTTGTGGGATATTTGGGCCCCCAGTGGTCCTTTAAGCACAAAATTTTCAAGCTTATTCTCACTTATGCTGGATTCAATATTGACATCTTAGTAGAGACCTTCATAGTGAATTCATCTTGGTTTTTCCCCTACTGCTTAACATCTTCAATCACAGAGCTATTTTATTTGTAACTACCATGTTCATTAAGAAGTGTTAAAAAGCTATGGATAACATTTTCCTCACGGATATATAGCCTTGAGCACACGTAAGCACATCTTGCAGGTCAATTACCCCTGGTATGGAATTCTCCCAAAATACCTCGTACGAAGTTCAATTTATGATTGGCAGTCCAATCCAGGCTCCCTACACTGGATAGCAACTGAATGGCCCATCATCACAACCTATAGGGCTCACCGGAATGGAGCACTAATACCCTGTATCAATGGTTAATCAATCCGTTAATTATGGTTATCAGTAAAGATTTGGAACTGGGCTTCCCTCTGTTTGCTCTATATGGACTTTGTTGTAGTCCCACTTTGGGTTTGTTTTGGCTTAAGGCTCACTATGTAATTACCTATTTATATATATTCAGTTGCTTAAAATTTTAAAAGAAAAAAATAATAATAAAAATTCACAAATGACACTTAGTCATTCAGGACCAACATGAAAAATAACTATTTAAAAAAGCTTTTAAGTACAATTATGCAGAATTGATCTCTTACAGGCCTATAAATAAGACCCTTTCTCTACATTCGGTCACTATAGTGTATAAATAGAAAGTTTTTGCTCATCCATAAACAAAATTTTTTTTTTTTTGAACAGATGTGCATTTAACATTTAAATAGAATCTTTATTATGAACAAAAGATTTTTTTGAATAAATATGCATTTAACATTTTAATATACTCCCTTCGGCTCATATGAAAAATCTACTTGAGAAGCTGTGTCCACTTCGGGAGCTGTCGGTAATAACCGTAATAATAATCTCATTTCTCATAAGGCAACAATAATATATATATTTTTTCAAGTCTTGATAAGAATAGAAAGTTCAATGATTGTCATCACAAAGATGCAGAGACCGTAGCAGTGACGAAAACCGAGGGACAAGTGGTGCACGACGTCGTATCTACACACTAAAACGACAACACTCATGTGACTGTCAACAACTAATTTCGTCCGTATCTTGCTTTACCGTTTTCATATAAATACGGAGTAACTTTTTTAGAGCAAACTCAATATCCATCATTTAATTTCAGGATTCTGCAATCAAATATCATCAGATCGCAAAAAAGGAAGAAAGCTTCACTTTCTCTCCAATTCTTAGTGGGTAACTCTCTGTTTCACCATTCTCTTACACATCTTTATTGGGTTTCTTGATCTTTCTTTTGTGACTTTCTTTTGGGTTTTACGAAAGTGAAAAGGAAATTGTACAGATACATCTTTTTGTCTAAGTTTAGATTATTTATATTTGTGGGTGTGTGTATATTTGTATAAATTTTGTTGTGTTTCTTAGGAAAATATCAACAGAAACTGTAGGGGCTTTATTCAATTGATTTCCTCTCATTTTTCTGGGAAACCAAACGGGGTCTTTGTTGTTTTGTTTTTTGGTGGGATCTTCTGTGAGAAAAAGTGATTTCAAGGGCTAAGATGGCATGCGAGGCTATGGAATCATGGGAATTCAGTGGGTTAGTGGGTGCCTTTCTTGATCTTGCTATCACATATTTCTTGCTCTGTGCATCAACTATTGCTTACTTTGCCTCGAAATTTCTGGGAATCTTTGGACTTGGCTTGCCCTGTCCTTGCAATGGACTATTTGGCAACCCTAATAGTAATTACTGCTTGCACACACTGTTATATGATTGCCCAAATGAGAAAATCTCTTCCCTTCAATTGTCTGTGAAGACCAAGTTCCCTTTCGATTCAATTCGGAGGAAAGACCATAATTGCCAAATGAATTTGAAGTTGGTTAGGGGAAAAAGCAATAATGTTTATGAGTGCGTTGAAATGGAGGGTGAGGAATCGTGTAGCTCGATTTCGGATGCCAGAAAGCCCCAGAATTTGGTTCGGAGGGACTTGATCCCAAGGAGTGAATTGGCTCTAGGATCTAGTGTAATGAATTTACCCAATTTCAAGGACAGAGGGTTTGATCTTAAGGGTAAGGGGATCATGAGTCAGAGGCCAAGGGGAGGTCTGAGGCGCCGTCGGAAAGGTGTTAGCGATTATGGGAGAATTTCATCTGCTTCGTCATTTAACTCTTTACGGGCGGATGTGCAAGGTGTTCCTGGTTCGCCTTCTAGTGTCAATAGTGAATTGAATGAGGCCATTGAAGGCAGATCAGTACCTGTCGATTCTGGTGGTGATGGTGGTCGCTCTCACTGTGAGTATCAATTGTTATCTAAAATTCTGTTTCCAGTTCATTTTCTTTTTTACAGCTCAAGCATTGTACCCTTATTGTTGATCATCATTAACTCCTAAATTAATTAAGGATTGGTGGTTTAAAATTGAAAGAGAACATGTTGAGAGGCGTTAGTGGTTCACTATAGTAACATACATCGTGTGTTTGTTGTGAATATATCTACAGATGATTTAATTATTGAATCAGAGGACATAACTGAATCAAGAAGCTTTATCTTGTATAATGTGCACTTCACTTCAGTTGTTAATTCTCCATGCACATGAAATCATACAATACAAATTACCTTCTATGCATATCTAATGCCCTCAGTGAAGATCTTGTTGGCAATATTATGTCCCAAAATATTGTACGAAACTCATTCAGGTGGACTAAATTGTTATGTGAAACAAAATAATGACTAATGAATATACTGGAAGGAAGAAGAGAAACAAATAATGGAGGGAAAAAAAAAAAATTCCCTTTCTTCAAAGAGTATATTACGTCTCATACATCCTGCCAGGGTTAAGGAATATGTTTAGGGCCTCTTTTTCGAATCACCCTTTTTGGCATTAGTTCCAAATTTTGAATTTTGGTGTTAACAATATTTCGAAGATGAATTGGCGTGACTTCTGAGTTGGATAGATTTTTCATGGTATCATATACATATGCTCATAATTTTTTCTCTTGTGATGCATCCCAGTGCTGATGTTGTAATGCTGGTATAATATTTTAGGTAATGAAGATACCCGTGGGTTTGATTTCAATGAACCCCTGGATGAAATTAAATCCAAAGAGCAGAATGATACAACTGTTGAGGATATAAAAAGTGATGCAACAGGGGAGCTGGGGTTTGATAATAGTGAAAAAAATGCAATTAGAATCCTAGAACAAGCACTTGGAGATGGACATGCTGCTTGTGCTGCGTGTGCTGCTCTTTATGTTGAGCTTGACAAGGAGAGAAGTGCTGCTGCTTCTGCTGCTGATGAGGCCATGGCTATGATACTGCGTCTACAAGAGGAGAAGGCATCTATAGAAATGGAAGCTCGGCAATACCAAAGGATTCTAGAAGAAAAATCTGCTTATGATGCTGAGGAAATGAATATTCTCAAAGAAATCCTTGTGAGAAGAGAGAGGGAAATGCATTTCTTGGAAAAGGAAGTTGAATGTTACAGGCAGATGATTTTTCTTAGAAATGAGGATTTACAAGGTAATGTGCAAGATATGGAATCCCAGAGACAAGATTTTGCTTCTGCACTTGATATGGGTGAGGATCCGGTCCTGATGTTGCACCACCTTAGCGAATCCATTGACAAGAAGGAAATAGTAAAAAGTAGTTCAGACGTAGGGGTCCTATCTGTCAATGAGCCAAACTCTGTCCTTGCTGTTGGAAATGCATTACCAGTTCCAGTTTTGGATGATGGTGCTGACCTTTTGAAGCAAGAGGATGTAGAAGAACAGTTTTCAATCACTTCAAGAAGCAGAAATATTCTCAACCAGGAGTTTCAGGAGAAGGGGATGGTCTCAATGGATAATGATCAATATGCACAGCAAGGTGAGGGGTGCAGGTCGGAGACATTTTCAGAGTCTTACAGGTCAAGTAGTTCCCAAGAAGGTTATTTGCTTGAGAAAACCATTCCCCTAGTAGATGATGAAGTACGAAAGGATAATGTAAATCTATCCCAAGGAATGGCAACCAAGACTATTGAAACTTGTAATGAAACTGAGATATATATTCCGCAGGATGGCAAAACAATGGAGCAGCATGCAAAAGATACGGAGCCTCGTGTTCATGATGTTCATGTTATCAAGGATGAATCCAACCTGTGTAAGGGAGCCAGTGAAAACCAAAATGAATTGCTGTCAGTGAGTGATACTTCAGATGTTCATAGAAAAAGTGATCTCCCATCTAGAGTTGCTGATATGAAGAAAATTGGTATTAAGAGTGATTGTCAAAGTACTAGCAGGTTGGACACTGAGACAGTCATTAGCAGAACCAGTTCTGACATGACTACTGGGCTGCCGCCAATGGGTAGATCACGGAGCAAAGCTTCATTCCTCGATCTGCGGAGGCCTTCCATGTCTTCACTTGATAGTGAAAGGTTGAAAATTGACAGTGAAGTTGGTTGGCTGAGAGAAAGGTTAAGGATTGTGCAAGAGGGAAGAGAAAAGCTCAACTTCTCTGTGGAGCATCGGGAAAGGGAAAAAATTCAGTTGCAACTTTTGGAGGATATAGCACGCCAGCTTCGAGAGATTCGGCTGCTAACAGAACCGGGAAAGGCTGTGCGTCAGGCTTCTTTGCCCCTGCCATCCTCAAAGGTGTGGCACTAAAGTCCTCTTTCATCATTTTCTACGTTGTATTAAATATATAAATTACCATTACATGGTTATGCTCATATCTCATTCTTTTTTCTTGATTAGTTCTATAAATCATACTAGGTAGAATGATGTTTCCTCATGAAGCACATACACAAATACATCACGACACAAACATTTTGGTATGACAAATTCTTAAAAATAAGATATGGATATGGCAATGGCAATGGCATGACAATGTATATGCATATATATTGTATTAATACAAATGAGAATTATAAAACATACATCCCTATATATAAATTTAAAAGGGTACATTACCCTGACCTCCCCTAATGTGTGACATAGGAACCCTTTGATTGGACTTTTGAGAAAAAAAATGTAGTCAACCCTACCCTGAGGTTTTGATGAAATTACAATCTCCCCCACTTCGTTGAAGGACCATTAAGGCCGTTTAAACAATTCTGTTTCGAATAGTGAAAATGCCATTCTATGAAATGAATTGACTCAACTATCCCTACTAATTTTTTTCATGAATTGACTCAACTGTTCCTATTAAATTTGTCCCCTCGCATACCTCGGTTCATCATTTTGATTTATAGGTGAAATATGTTTAAATTATATCTTTGTTTAGCATATGATATATATTTAAATTTAGGGTTAACTACAATGACCTTCCCTGAGGTTTGGCCTAATTGCAAGTAGATGAAACTATTGCATTTTTTTGCGGCGTGTCCCCCCTGAGGTTTGAGGGTAAGCTGCAAAGACCTCCCCTCTGTACAAAAATCAGTACTTTTTGTCGGAAAAAATGATTGAACTGACGAAAATGCCCTTCAACTAAGTGGAAAAGACCCATTACCCTTATAGTGTCATCAACTTACAAAAAAAACTTTGTTTTAAGGGACAAAAAAACTCTTCTCTCTCTCCCTCTCTTTTTCTCTCATTCCTTCACGTCCCTCTTGTCTACTCTGGTTGTATTCTAAATGAACAAAATTCCAGATTTCTCCACATTAACAAGCTGCGAACACCATAACACACACATAGATCTAAACACTCTTTTAAAGCTTCTGCCTCATTTTGCTTTGGCTAGACCTCGTGAATAATAGGTGGCTAATAGCTGAACAAAATCTAGCTACTGTTACAGCATATGGTCAATATTGTTTCTCTTCTCTTGCTGACATCCTAGATAATACTTCAGGGCACAAAATGAATAGAAAAGGACATACAAGGTCTCCTTGGTATAATCATCTACATGGCACAAAAAACCAACTCTCTTTGCGAACAAGGACTGAAAATGAGACAATGAATACACATTGGTGAATTTGGAACATTAATGAATTTTTACTTATCAAAAAAAAAAAAAAAAAAATGATTAGATGTAGTCAAATTGTTTGGACATATTAATCCTTATAATTATAAAATCACCTGTCAATTTCTTCTTTAGATAGCACATGATTTTTAGTGTTGACTACATTCTCTCAGGAATGATGCCCATTACAAAATGCTCAATTCTGTTAGCTATTACACAAACTAATTGAGCAGAATTGCTCGGAGTGAGCTTTAGGGGATTGGTACAGTGTGAAACTGTGAATGCGATTTATTTCCTAGAGCAGGCCTGAAAAAACATTGAACAATAGATGAGATCATTGCCTACGACCAAGGAATATGCATCATAGAACACCGTTGACATTCCATCAAGACCAGAAGCTTTGGAGGCATTTTAAACAGATTTTTCTTTATTTCCTCATAGGTTGAAATAACACAAATCTCTTTATTCTCTTCTTCTGATATGCAAGGATTAACTGGATGCTCTAAATCATCAAGGAAGGGGAAGATGAGGTGAATGGGCATCTCTGGCCTCCGCTTCTCTACCCTCTGATACCAATCCATCTAACCATCAATCACAAACCAAAATCACCACACATCAAAAGCAACACAAAGAAATAAAAAACAAAGATAATAACGAATTTCAGACCTTAGAAATCAGATCTGAAGCAACGAAACCAAAGGATTATATATATATGTTGATTTGGGCATCGCAGATGGATTTTGCAGAAGGGGAAGATGCTCTATCTTATCAGGATCGTAAATCACTTTATTTGTGGTATCACCTAAAGGGCCAAGGCTTGGTTTGGAGCTGGTGTCTGAATACCTAGAGCCCCAAGAACCGTTTTGGCATGTTTTGAGTATACCACAGACCGGTGCAGGTTTGTCTTCAAAGGTTCGCCGGAGATTCTCAATGGTGACAGCTGGGGACTGTAGCTGAAGACCTAGGCATCAACAATTTCGTTGTAGAAAAAAAAAAAATTAAAAAGAAAGAAAAGAAAAGAGAGAGAGAGAGAGAGAGGTGGGAATGGAAATTTTCAATTTGTGAATTGACTTTAGCGTGACTTAATTGTTTGGAGGAGGAGGGATTCACTGGTCGTGGAGCAGCAGGGGACAGTGGTGGAGCAGAGGGAGATTTTGTGGACAAGAAGCTTCTGCAATCGTGAAACAATTGTGGGGTTGTAAGTATAGGGCAAAATAGTCATTTGACATACCACTATAATTTGATCATTTTTAACAATATAATAACGAGGGTAGATAAGTAAATTCACAGCAAAATCTGACATAGGAGGGGTCTTGGCAAAAAAATGACAACCCTTCGGTTTATTTGCAATTAGGCCAAACCTCAGGGGAGGTCATTGTAGCTTACCCTTAAATTTATTAGAGATATATATATATATATACGCATTATATTTTATTATTAGTTTTATTTAGAATATTTAATTTATTATGTATATATATACACATTATATTTTATTACATATAAATTTGATATATAAACTTACATTTTCCTTTCTTCCCAATTTTTATTTATAGATGAGAATGTAATTGGGTCAAGAGAATAATTGATGTTTGTTAAATTTTGTACATGGAAGGTGGGATGTGAAGTTTGGAAATTTTGGGGACTCAGGTGGAGTGGAGGAGTGGTTTTGCAGATTGTGGTGGAGGGTGGATTGTAGATGATGGTGGTGGAGTGTTCTTGCAGATGTTGGCGGTTGTGGGCTAGGAAGGGGGTTTGGTGGTGGTGGGAGAGAGACCCAGATATGAGAAAATGGGGCAACCACATTGGAGGTACAACTCTAATGCGCAATATCACCTCCTCATGTCACCACCTTATTTAACTTAGACACCTCTTCAATTCCTCCACTCAGGCGGAGTGGAGGAGTGGTTTTGCAGATGGTGGTGGAGTGGTCTTGCATATGGTGGCGGTTGTGGGCTTGGGAGGGAGTTTGGTAGTGGTGGGAGATAGGCCCAGATATGAGAAAATGGGCCAAACCACATTGCAGTTACAACTCTAACGTGCCTTGTCATCTCCTCGATAGATCAAAGTCTTATGTAGTAAAACTCAGAAATGATAATTTTGGAAGTCTCTGAAACTCTTTTCATGCAATCTTAGGTCCTTTTTTGGCTTTGTCCTTTGTGTAGCTTTTGGGAGAGTGAGAAAACTCTTTTCGTGCAAGATTAAAACAATTTTAGGGATCAAAATAAGTTTGAATCATATAAGTTTTAGAAACCCTAGATATACATGCATTGACACTAATTTGGTGAGTGTATCATCCTGTCAATTTGTCTTTATGCCCTTGTAGACAAAGATTACTAGATTAGCATGAATTTCCATATTCAATGGTGTGAGATAACTAACACCAATACTAACAGAGATGACTAACACCAATACTAACTTTTCAAAAATCTCTAACCTAAATCAATCTAAGGTTCAATATAAATCGCCATTCTTCATTTGATTAAGAAAATTAAAACAAGGATTTGAATTGAAATTTCTCAACAATCAATCAATCAATGTTTTCTGAAGTAAAGAGGAATGGACAAAGAGCTGTGGAGAGAACTTTATTGGAGAATGAAGTTTGTTGATCAGCGAAGGCAACAATATTATTTTTTATTTTATTTTATTTTATTTTTATTATTATTATTTTTTTGATAAGTAATAAAGGCAACAATATTTAATGGAGAGCATCATGTGTAAATCTATTTCAGTGGTAACTAGGTGATTCTAGGGTGTTGATTCTGATACTTGGTTATAAACATTTCTCATACAGTGGCTTGTTCGTGTCTGGACTTAAAAGTCTTATGGGGTTTTTGTTCGTTTGATTGCTTGATTCTTTTATTATTGTTTTTGATATACTGCTAATTTGCTACATTTGAGTAATAAATTAGATTCTAAAAAAAAAAAAAAAAAAAGACAGAAGTTAAAAGGTATTTAAAATAAATATTGGCCTTTTAAATTAAACTTATCAATATATATATATATATATATATATATATATATATATTGGCCTTTTAAATTAAATTGAAAAATAAATTCTTGACATTTAGGGATTCATAAGACCTAACATCTCCGTTTAGGTCTAAATTAGAACCTTGAGTGCACTGTTGTATTAAAGCGTACGTGGTTGGTACTCTTACATTTGGAACCCCTGTTATGCTTGTTTCTAATAAGTATGATGTTGTGTTTAGAAAAGTTACATTTCAATTTTCAAGGCTTGTTAGACATATGTCCTGAAGTATCTAACAATATCAGGTATGTAACTAGAGTGTCTAAGAAGTATCAGATATACTCAACTCAACAAAGCCTTTTTCCCAACTACTTGGGCTGTTTACTGGATAATTGCTTTATAGAATTCGAAGAAGGGAATTCCCTGAGTCAGTGTCGAATCCAGTGTAGCCAATCAGTAATTAGGAGGAGCTCGTAATAGCATAGTTAACGAGACAGTCCGACAGCTATTGAATACACTTCGGAGCCAATCGCGGTATTCTTAACACCCGACCCAAGCTAATTCAACATGTGGCGGATTTGAAATCATAGCTATAAACCTCTGAAAAGCTTTTTATATTGACTAATGGCTTAAGCTCTTCGAAAATCCCGTCACAATGGAGACGGCGTTGCCCAATCATGATACGGCTTCAGATCAAGGGGTACCCTTTATCCCACGTAGGCATTCACTCTTAACAGATTCTTTTCAAAATGATACGGTATGTTATAAATAAAATTAGCCAATTTTTTGAGTCAAGTTGATTCAGATTATTCCAACGTTTGATTACTTATTTGTTTGTCGCACAATTTTTTTTTTTTGAATTTCCGGTAGAAAGGAATTTCCCTAACGAAAAGGCTCTTTTCGTAATTTTGTGCAATTTAAGTGGTAATAAAGTCATTTAAAACAGATTGAAGGGAATTGGGAACTTTTCAATCTTTGAAGCTTTTCGTTCTTATTTGATGCAAGTTTTGCCTTGGGTGTGATGCCTTGGCGATGTAGGGGTGATGCTAGTGTCTTCCGTTCTTCTACCGTTCCCCCTCACCGAAGTGTTCTTCTACCTTCCTTTCCTCTTCCTTTATTTCCTCCTTTTCTTTTTCCAAGCCATTTAATTAGCCCTTGAAAACCACCATCTGAGTCTTAGAAGATTCTACTACAATAAGCCCAGTCAAAGTCTCGACAAAAGTAGAAACATAAAACCCGATGTAGTTACTGCAGCCCCTTGAGCAGCTGCAGAACTAATATTTGATTTTCTATATATTCACAGGCAACCTTAACCATTTCTCTACTCTATGAGCCTTTTCTCTAAGAAGTGTTGACCATCCCTTATATTGCTGCTATGTTGAAATTCCAGCAGCCGTTTCCATGAATTTCTAGCCAACTCAAAACCTCCAAAACTGTACTAATTCCCTAAGGCCACCAAAAATATTCATACCTGTGCAGCACTATAATTAGGTTTACATAAAGCTGTGCACATCCATTTGGCAGCAGTGTTCTCTGCACTCATTCTACTTAGAACAGAAATCCTAATTTTCTATAAGAGAAATAAGAGAAGATTCCCTTTTTAAAAAAAAAAAAAAAAATTCTTGGAACTTCATATTTCTTTTATTTGAAGTGTAAAAATAAAAGTAAACAATAATAAACTAAACTTGATGATGAGGGGAAAAAATGGATAATATGATTATGAAACTTATTTGTTTACGATTTGGAGTAGGACAGAGAGGAGTGTACTTGGTTTCAGTCAGTCATCTTCTCTTGCGTTGCCTGGTAGCTTGAGATAGTTGGGCTATGCTTTTTGTCCTTGTTGGTGTCCATTGCGTTATGCCAATGTCCCCGCAGGGCATACTCAAGGCTTGGAGAGTAGTGCAGTGAGGAGGCAAGTCCGAGATGCTTGAAGGGTGGCACACTTTTGTTTATATATATGGTGGGAATTGTGGCGTAAGAGGAACAGGCAACATGGGTGTTTAAGTTATTCTTTATACTATTTTTTTTTTGGGTACAAGGTTGGAATTGTAGATCAGTGGGGGATATAGTGTCTTTTGTGGATATACATTGATTGTACAGCAGACCCTCTTGGTCTTGCTTTTGTTCTTGGGATGCGCCCCCCTGTGAGCGCTCTTCAATGAAATCTTTACTTTAAAAAAAATGATCTTGATTGTAGGTCTTTCAGGGATTTTGGTTTAGTGAGAAACAGATTGTCGGGAAGCTTATGACACTGATGAGGGGAAGAAGTTGAAGAACCAAAATTGAAAATTTTTGTTGAAAATAAAAAGTTATGTTTTGGGAGCTATGACTGAAGGAAGACCATCAAAATAACTCCAAATTGATGACAACAAGATTATTATGTACGAAGTGAATATATTTGACTAAGAAGAGGCTAAAGCAAGAAGCAAAGATTTACATCATATTTATGCTGTAGTGACTCGAATGTGAGAATCAGCTACTGGTCATGAATCTAAGATGCCTTTTGTGATATTGTGGCCCGAATTTGGTGCAGGGTTGTTGAACACATGCAGTTGACTAATTTACGTAAAGCGGGAGTGAGAACGTCAAAATCTAAAACATGTTGATTGCTGGAGTGCCCTTAGAGCGTCTGTACATTTACTTCTTCCACTTACTATATTATCATTTTAATTTATTGAATACTATTTTTTTGTTGACTTTTATTTTTTAAAAAAAATTAAATATATTTAAAAATAATCAAATATTTATTTACTATTTCTTTTATTAATTAAATTTATGAAATGTTATACTTTTTAATTGTGATGCATCACAAAGCAGAGGTAACCGAGTGGTAAGTTTGACAACAGGTAATGAATTTCAATCATTACCCACAGCAACATGCTGCTGCTTTCTAATTATTAAATCATTATGTTTGCCCACACAGCTCGCTACGGTGGAAGGTAATATGCGTAATATGCACGAAATTTGCAGATTGTGGAAATGAATTCGTGAACTCTGAAAATTGAATTTGTGAATTTGGGGCGAATCAGCTCCCAAGCAGATGATTTGCGCGTGGAGCTTGGGAGCAGTCATCCCATGCACGAATTATGTGACTTAACTGCACTCGAGCTTAATCCAAATTTCCTAGTGATTCAAGCTTCAGCATCACAATTTGATGCCCACTAGGATGAGAAATCAGAGAACAGCCCACTACTTGTCTTAGCTCAACTTGCTTGCAGCCTTAATGTTATCTTCTAACATCAACTTGCTTGCAGCCTTAATGTTATCTTCTAACATAAATGCTTTTGGGGAAACAGAAAATCTTTGTTGTCTTAGTTACTGATTTGAACAAAGAAAATGGTAAAAATAAAAAAGAATAATAAATAAATAAATACATCCTAGAGGTAAAGTGGTATCTTTCTCTGTGCGTGAAGGTCTTTTCTGTCATCTCAAATCCACCAGCTCTTACCTTTATTGTAGTTTCTTTATAGTGATTGTGGCATTTTACATGTTTACTGAATAATTGTTGCTGATTTCCACAACTTTCTTTCTTAGGTTCTTTCAAAGAAAAGGCGCTATCGAAGTGCATCTATAGGAGTTAATAAAAGCTCTTAAGGTATGAGCTGTGTTGCTTTGTGGATACAACAATTGTGATCATACTTTCGGCTACTTGAAAATGATTGCTTTAGATACAAAAAGGAGGATTAACTGTTGTGTACTCATTTCGTAGGTTTCTTGCCGAGTCTTATCTTGGCGTAAGCCGTGTCAATTTTCTAGAAGTTTCACTCGGTGCCTGGTTTCTGAAGTCATCTAGGGGATCCAGTGAAGGGAAAGCTCACAATGTTTTCCATCACTGAAACCTGTAAGAGCTGCTGGCTGATAATCATTTGCCGGAGATGGTATGTTCATGATACAAGTGAGTAGGAGGTACAGTGGTAACTAGTCTCCCTCTTAATAGGTCTAGGGATTCTAATATTTTTATGTTGTATAACCTTGTAGTTGCCACGTCAGTAGTTGTTGATAATAGATCCCCTCCTATTCACTTCTCGTTTTGCTTTTCATTCTGTTATTTGGATTAATCAGTTCAATAAAGCTAGTAAACAATGTAAATTGTATGTTTTCGATTTTCTTATAGGTAGTTAGTGTACTTTTTCTTCATTTTTCTTTTTTTCATAACCTGTTGCTAGCACAGGTTTTTGATGAATATTGATGGCAAGAATGTAATGGGTGGAAAAAAAAAACAAAAAAGGAGTTTATCATTTATATTTCATTAATAATGTGAAATCAATATTATCAGAAAGGTGGAATGCATATATCTACATCTTCTTGTACTTCCTAATTATGATTCTTTATATGTGCCAAATATTGAGGCTAACCTCATGTGCTAGTTTTGTGCATGATCACATTTGTGAGCGAAGGGTTTCTTGCCCCTGCGTGATTGCACGAGTATCCATCTACTTTCTCCCTTCATTGCTTTAACAATTTCGATTTCTCTGTCCGAGAGCCAATCTCAGTGGCAAAATTATTAGATGGTTCTAGACCGGATGATTTGGTGATCGAGTCCAAGAAAACTCATTATAATCCCGATAGAGAGTTCGAATGGAGGAGCTGAATGATGCTCCGCTGCGCCCCCACTTGATGATGCATTCGGCTCCTCCATTCGGTCTCTTTCACTTCGGATTGTAAATAAAATAAAATATAAAATAAAAATATCTCTAGTCTATGAATGGCACAAGTGTCTTGGGAACCCTTTTTTTCGTTTTTCACTCATCTAGTTGGTGATGAGTATATTGATCTATCTAATAGATCTGAAATGTTTTATTGTTTGAATTGCTGCTGGAATAAAAGCCCTCGTTACTATTTTCATTTTTTTTTTAATGATTTCTCTATAGATTTTGTTTTCCATTAATTCTTAACTCTACTTTTTTGCCTTAGTTGAAAAAAAAAAAAAAAATTACAAGTTTAAATTAGTAGTTGTAAAACATTTTGTCACATGTATCAAATTCACTCAAACCCATGGTGGAAACAGGACATTTGAAACAGGACATTTGAAACAGGACATTTGATGCCTCTTACCATTTATGTTGAAACGGGGCGTGATTTGGTAATACGCCAATTTGACAGTACATTTGAATGGAATGGATGAACCAATTGGGTCATTCATTATATCACCAGCTTTTGAAATGCTTTAATAGCCAATGCTTCCCTGTTCTTGGGGCCAACAGTGCCGGAAAATATAGTTAGAATCTACTCTTTTGAACATTGAATCTGCATTTTGAATTTGAAATTAGAACAAATTTAATTTCAATTTCGTACTCTCAAAAATAGAATTAGTTTAAATTTTAAACTAAATTTCCTTTAATTTCAAAAACAAAATACAAAATACAAAAATACTTCAAAACAACATAACATGTGTATAAATAGGTCACGTGGGGCATTACCTAGTGACCTAATGGGATAAACCGCCCACCTTCCCAAACATACGTGTTTGTGTCTCTCCTCCCCCTTAGTTTGAAAAAAAAAAAAAAAAAAAAATTAATAATTATTATGGGCCATGTCCATCCTAACAAAAAGGTTATCATTGTCTGAATCCATCAATCAAAGGGTTCACTTCCATCTATTAAGCCAATGTGACAATCAGATTAGCCCATCACTGGTAGAAGAGAGAGAGAGAGAGACATGATTTCACAATTTCACTTTATTCAAGGTGAATGATTTCTTAGAAGAGCAAGAATACAAAGAAACATATCATGCTTTCCTCTAATATTCTCACGAATTTAGCGATTGAAGTCCCAAACATAAAAAGGTTGAACTATGCAAAAGTACAAAAGCAAAGGTTAAGAAGGCCAAAAGCTGGGACTTATATACAAACACATTGTCAACTAATAAAAATCACATTCCGACATCACCTAGTTGATAGAGTGCCCAACTCCCCGAGCGGGTGTGCCCGTATTTGCGTCCCTGTCTCCCTAGTTTACCAGGAAAAAATAATAATAATAAAAATAAAATTCCTTCTTTTCTCTTGGGTCATTCACTTCATTGTACATAGCAAATTGACTGTGCAGACATTGTATTGGCTTCATATGAAAACTGTCAACTGAGGATTTTCACTACTTGGGAACCACTAAAACCATCAAACCGAAGAATTTGAATGTCCCCGCGAGATTCAAATTTGTTTGCACCAATTCATGCTTGTTTCTGCTTACCAGAAGCCAGTGTTCTTGAGTCATGTAACATACGTAATATGAAAACACATTGCATAGTTTTGTATGGGAAAAAAGACGAGTTATCTACCATTCAGTGAAAAAGATCAGATCATATACGGAAAAATAACCAAAAATGGTTATCATATATTCACATTCGGGGGAAATCACTTTTCTGTTGATTCATATAGAACATAACAGCTTCGTGCAACATCAGATCACCTGCATATAAAACAAGAGACATCAACATCCATCAACATATTTATGCCAAGGAAACCCTACAGCCAACCAACCTAGTTTAAACAAATTTCGCAAAAATGAAATAAATATCACAACTTGGATCAGGAACTGCTCCCCTATTACCGGCCTCAAAGGGGCGCTTTCTCAGACTCCCAACTTTAGGGCAGCTGGCACGTCATATGCCCGGTTCCACGACTGCTACTAATAAGAGAGAGATGAAATAGGAAGAGAACGAACTTGCATGTTTTAAGCATATTAATTAAAGGTAGCGAACATCTGTGATCAGGTGACTCTTCCGAATGAACTTTACGAGGAACCTAGAGCTTATTTGTCTGCAATGCGATTTGGACGAATACTATATTGACGAGTTGGGTGAGAAAAAGAAATTCTCCTCGACTAGATCGCTTACAAATTGGTCTTTGCCTCCACCGACCAAGGCAGACAGCGATGGAGATGGGAGTGAAGGCATTTGAGCCCGCTTTCCAATTGATGGCATTGGTTCCTTCATACAGATTCCCAGCGATCAAAGGATTAGGAGTGTTGTTTATCTGTTTAGCTATTCCCAGCGGCCCGCTCCTTAGCTCCCTCCCCAATTCCAAGACCCGCACACAATGCCAAGTCAATCTCAAGTGCTTTAGATTCTTGGCTGATAAAGGAATATGAAGGTCAGCCCGTTAATTGCTAGAGGCATGGCTAATCAGCTTAAAGGACTTGTTAATTCTATATTATTAGCGAATCAGAGTCAGCATTTCCTCCTTTTCACAGTAAGCATTTTCTCTCTCACCAGCTGGGATAAAAAGGGACATCGAGTGAAGAGGCAGGGGCGGGTATCGACATCCAAACTAAACTAACTGCTTCAAAATAGACTTTTCAGACCCCTCATCCAACAAGACTGGAGCACACTCCACAATCCCGGGTTCTTATATATATATATATATATATATATATGGGACTCCCATGGTTCAAAGTCACAAACAGGTCCTATCACAGCCACAGGCACCGAGGCTTGAGCCCAAAAGCACAAGTTCTGATGCCAGCTGCCGTGCCTTGGACAAGCTTCTTCGCGAAAGATCACCCCGTCACCCTAGATAGAAGTATGAACCTCACTCATGCCGGTCCTCAGTGGAGTGGCACAAAATGACTATATAGCTAAATGAAATAAAGCATGCCCTAAATGGGGCAATTTTCTACAAGAGACGACCCTCCGATTGAATCAATCAAATCAAGGGGCATTGGGAGGCGTTTGCCTTCCTTCTGCTGGTACACTATGACTGTCCACAGGACGTTGAGACTTTTGAGTAACCATTGATGTCCAAAATCTAGGACCAAACACGTGGACTCTGTGCACAGTAGCTCTTAGTTCTAATGTTCGAGTATATGAATTTGCTAACGGCTTACTCAATCAAGTCCTATAGGTAAAATATTCGAGCAGATTTTCACTTTAAAAATGCATTTCGCCCTAGTCTGGAAAAAGAAAGCAGCAAGCTGCAAGCTCTCGACATTTCATCCGCAATGTCTCTAGAGACTTAATTAAGATAACAGGATTCAAATTTCATTAATTCCATAAGAATGGGCGAAACGAAACTGACCCTTATTCAACATACCTCCAAACCTTATGCCAAGAAACTGGCCCTCATATTCGGGGGTGAGACTGCAAGTACTCCCTGGTTGGATCGCTAAAAACTTAGCAAGCAAGCCCTTGTTAGAATTTGAGGATAAGCCATACTTTGGCTGTGCTACAGTTTCAGGGTCATCAAGAGCATTATCTCTCTAGAATAGAAGCTTGTATCCGAATGCCGTAGTTCACAAACAAGGAATACATTTTTTATTTTATTTTTATTTTTGTTTTTTATTTTTTGTCAAGGTGGATGAAGTCAAGTTTTTCATAAGAAGGAATATAAAAATTACAAGATGACAAAGCAATCTGTTATTAGATTAGATGTATTATTGCCAAGAATCAATCCCCTCAACCTAGAGAACACTATATTTCTAATCCTAAGTGGTTTCAAATGCCATCAGGGCATATCACAAAAAAATAATAATAACAATAATACTTCAGTTTAAAATGCAACTTTAGCCGGATGTCCATTGTGCTTTTACGAAATTACCCTGCTGTTATTCTATTAATTTCTAACTATATTCCTAATGTAAGTAAAATATGATGATTTTACCAATTTAGTACTCTTGAAATTTGAAAGGTTTTGATTAAAAATAATCACACAAAAAGGTTCCATGACAAAATAGTTACCACGCTTAGACCAACAGCTGATAAGGCGCCAACATGATGATTTTACCAATTTAGTACTCTTGAAATTTGAAAGGTTTTGATTAAAAATAATCACAAAAAAGGTTGCATGACAAAATAGGTACCACGCTTTACACCAACAGCTGATAAGGCGTCATTAACTGGCTTCCATACAAGCAACTCCATCAAGTTCCTCCACAGCTGCAACCAAACCACTGTGTGGTAAATCTTTTGCTTACGGGCATTAGTTGCTACCAGGGTAATATGGTACAATAAGCTAGACGCTCCTGTGTGGCTTGCCCCCACCACCCTCACAAATTGAAGCTCCCCATTCTACACAGAAACAAAAACCAAACAGGAAAATCACATGACATCACTTTAAAATTGATAAGATAATGCTTGGTGTTGTGATTCCGAAGTTAAAGGAATGGTTCTCTGGCCCATCAATCTATATGGAAATTAAGCACACATTTTTCATGTTGTATTATAATGCTCAGAAAAGAAAAACTAAACAAATTGGCACAGAACACATTAAATAGACACCTATACTATATATGTAAAGTAGTCGATGTAATGAAAGTAAATTACCTTCAAAATTCCCTGCTTTGATCTATATCATTATTATTATTATTATTATTAGTTTGGGTCTAAACTACAACAGATGGACACTTACTGCCAAAGTTGTTGAAACAAGGTGGCAAAATTGCTACCATGTCATCTAAAAATGAGAGAGAGAATTCCGTTTTTGATGCTTATTTCCATCATTTGAAATATAAGATGACACTCCAAATCTAACCACAAGTATCTATTGATTTAAGTTAAGAAGTTATCCCACTCACCTTCAAGAAGTTTTGATTACTCCATACTGAGCAACATCTAACAAGATTCGCCACCCACTTGTATGTCAAAAACATAATCGAGCTCATATTTATCTCATTTATTGGATTAAGATTCAAGTGAATGAATAATCACCTTCACTTGATGTTTTATCCAACCACTTGACCAAAAAGTTTTGACAGCGTATAGATATTCAAGTATGTTCTACAGAATCTTTTTTTTTTTTTTTTTGACAAATGTTCTACAAAATCATATCAAATCACATCTATGAAAATCATCCCATTTGTATAAATTTTCATAAAGTAAAATTAGAAACTAAGGCTCCCCTAAAAATAAATTAAATTAAAAATAAAAAATAAAAATAAAAATAAAAACCCAACAACATACCTTATTTTATGATGTAAATTGCAATGTACAATAATTTTGCTAATATTTCTGTGTATCTCGCTTTCCTTGGCTTTGAAATAAATTGTACCAACATACAATTTGGTTAATATATTCCCTTCATCCAAGTGTCAACTTCATATATGATAATTATATCTACAAAGCTTGTCATCCAATGCCATCTTCAAATAAAATATTCTATAACCATCATATAATTGATTATATTCACTAAAGAAGGTACATGAATTTGTTTTTTTTTATTTTTTATTTGATGAGTTTGGTTATTACAGGATGAATTGTAAACCTTAGGCAGTACTTGATTCAACTTGATTAAGCCTTATCAGAACTCTTTGGGTTCAGCTACGAAAGTCATGTTCCGCCATTCCATTTCCTCTACTACCATAACTAAAGTTAAATCGCATGCCAAACATTCCATTTCCTTACTTTGTTAGTCCACAAAAACCAGATCATTCAGTTTTCCAGTATTTGAACTCCAATGAGTGCTATTCCACTGTAATAATTAGAACTTTATAATTGTATTTTATTTTATTTTATTTTTTGTGTAATTATGCACATACAGATGCAAATCAAATAAAAGAAGTTCATTTAATCTACCTGAATTGAAGTCTCGGTACCAAATAGCAGGTTTCACTAATTTATTGTTGCATGCTAACATAAAAAGAAATAGAAGATCTTTTTATATTGATAGAAACTTCTAACGAACAGCCATGGAGGTAGTTCTTAAGTTGACTAGGCAGCACATTATCTGATTCACTTATTAATGAAAACATATTTGACTCCTTTGTATTGAAAGACGTCCATCACTTTCAATGATAGGTCACTTTAAATAATAATCATGGGTTGTGGTTCTCCTTAATGAAAACAAATAACCCCACACCTCCCACTTTTAGAGTAAATATGAATATGAATGTAAATTTATATATGATTATTTTTTAATGCTAACACCATAATAATTTTCTGTTCAATTGACAATATATCATTCACTACAGATAAATACGAACTAACAAGGAGAACCAAGACCCCATAGAAAGACATCGGGGGTAGAGGAACCAAGCTCCTAAACTGAACTTCTGTTGCTCATCTGTTAGCAATAGCAAAGTTTCAGAATTGAATTGTGCTTTGCATTCTATTACGTAATCAAGGAGGCCAACACTATTGTCCTGTTTTTAGATTGCACATTAATAATAATAATAATAATAATATAATAACATGCATTGCAAAAATAAATAGTATATATTAAATCAAATGTCTAATTAGTAGAACGACTCCATGCACTTAAACAAACAAACAAATAAATAAATAAAATAACAGGAACATCATTAATCCAACCCAAATAACATAGTATGTTTCATCTCCCTTCTATAATATTTGGGATTCAGGAGGTCTCAAGACACACTCCAACCTTAAAGACAATATTGGTTTTAGGCTCAGCAGACCTCTTAATCTAGAAAAATCTAGAAGGTAAGAATAGATCACTTTTTAAAATACAAAGTAATAAAATTATCCTACTATGAAAAACAGAAGTTAAATTTAAGTATACAGTGTTCAATTTCGTTAGCTATGATTAGGACTTAAAATTTATCGAATGGTGCACAAGATCACCCCCAAAAGTTATCAAATGGTGCACCATCAGCACCATCCAAAATGATCAACTTTTCTCTTCTTCAATTTACTTTTATTTATCATCAATTAAGATTTAAGACTCTATAGTACATTGCATGGTTAATAAGGTCACTTTCATCATTTTACCATACATGAGGGAATTTCTGATATTTTGCTTAACTTATTTAACTGAGCTATCGGCTAAAGAGTCAGTAAAAACAAAACTTAGGTTGACCAAAAAAATTCACAAGAGTAATTAGGCCATACCTAGGGATGTCAGGGTAATTTATCCCAAACAATAAAGAATATTGCAAACTTTGACACAAAACATCATATTAAGTGAGACTCACTAAGTAAGAAGTACCCGGTTCCTCTCTTGTCCCTTATTCCATCCAGTGTAATCATGTGCACTGGTATATTTATACACTACAATACTACATCAATATGCAACAAGCTCATAATGAGATGCAACACTCGCGTAAACACTTACACTTGCGTAAACACTTATGCAACACATTCACATCGAATTACATTGTGTTGCAAAAGTCATGCAACATATTACATTGGGTTGCATACAATATCATTAAATCGAGAATTTAACACATTTACGTAATTGTTGAATTGCCGTTATAAAGTTATTGCATTCAGGCACAGACCCGTAATCCCCAACTGGATTTTTTTTTTTATTTACAAAATAATAAAATCTTAAAAATATCCCTTTTTTTTTTTTTTTTTTTTTTTGTGAAAATCTTAAAAATGCCCCAACTCAATTTCTAATGATGCCCTCCTGTGATACAATTCTCTTGGTCCGTCACCATTCCCGATTTAAAGTTGTTGCATTACATTAACCATTTAAAGTTGTTGCATTGGCGATTTACACGCCCAGGCCAAAGACACACAGTGGAGATTATCCTGATTCATGTATACACAATTACACATAGCGCATATGTATGTATAGTGTGTGTGAAAAATAAAGGGAAGTATGGGTACCTGGTTCTGATTGTGCTGGTTGATTGCAGACTTAGCAAGAGAAATAATCCACTCATCCTCCTGAGCACCCTCATAGATGCTTGTGCCTCCAAGCCTGACTGTATCATCCTGAGTTCTGATTACTTCACCGACTGGGCCAGAAATAGAAGACCCATTACGTTGCAAACAAGAACAAGAACAAGAAGAAGATGGGTTCCTCCAAAGACTCTGTTTGACAGAACCCCACACACCAATTGTTGGATTTGCACAATTTTTCACTCTGCCGCTGCCTAGTAACAATGAGCGCAAGGCCATGCCGGTTAGCACTGTAAAAAAAATAACTGCATTAACATATTTTGGTTTAACAAATCCCTTTTATGAATTGGGTAACTTGGGTTCTTTGATTGGAAGTAATTGGCGGTAAAAAATTTTGGATGACCGTAAACGATGGTGTGTGTTGGTGGGGATTGTAAACCCTAGCGAATTATATGGTCACCCAAGTTAAAAATCTTCCCGTTTCTTTTCCTATGTCTTATTTTAATGGTTGAGTGGGATTTTTATTTATTTATTTTTTCACAAATGAGACATCTCGCACGGGTGAGATTAATCTACCTCGAGCATAAGTAATATCTCACAAGTCATGTGCACGGGGTAAGACATGATAAGTTCAGTCCTCAACTTAACCCCAACTTAACCCGTCATGTATGTGCTCCACAAAAATTATTTATCTGCTCAAACTTGAGACATATGATGCTTCATGAGGCACGGGACCTAAATTCCTAGGTTAGAATTTTTGAATTAATTCAATTTTTAAATATTTCAAAATTCTTGTTTAATTCAATTTTTAAATATTTCAAAATTCTTGAATTAATTCAATTTTTAAATAATTTATGTGAACAATAAAAGGGTATATTTGATGAAGGAAACGTCCTAACATGCATGATCTAGGATTTTCATTGTAATTGAATTTCAAAAGGAATTTCGGTTGTTTGAAATCATGATGGAAATGAAATTTGAAAGAATTATGGATCTGTTTGGTTAACTAGAAATTGATAATGAAAAGTGAAAGAAAAGAAAATTAGTTTTTTATTGTGTATTTGGTTAACAACAATATTTTTTAAGAAACTTACAAGAGAGTGAAAGGAAAATTACTTTACATACAATTAAATAATAATAATAATAATATTATGTACAATTAAATAATAATTATAGTAGCAAAATAATATATACAATTAAATTATCCTTATGAATTTAATAATAAAATAATAATAATAATAATAGTAATAAAATAATATATACAATTGAATTTATAAATAAATATATATGTCGAGATACATATTTGGTGTTTGTTTCTTTATATAGGATTTTTTTTTTTTTTGAAAGTTTGCATTATATATTAGGATTCTGCTATTAAATTAGTTTACTTTGTTTTGTAAGTGTTGCGAAGAATTTTAATTTGTAATTTAAAAAGTAAGAGAGTTGTAACTAAATTAGAAGAATTAATTTGTTTAAGAAATTCTTCTTTTATAAGTAATAAAGAGAAACAACTTATAAGGATATAAGAGAAAATTAATATATAATGATACAATTTTTACAGGAAACTAAATTTTTCGCGTAGGAATATTACTTCCCTACACTACTGCTAAAAAAATTCAGTTTCTTCTCTTTTCTTATTAGTTCACGCAAAACAAATTAACCCTGCTGTAACTTAAAGAATACTCGAGAAAATTAAAAGAATTTTATAACCAACTACTTAATTTACTAAAATTGCCATTCTATAAATGCTTTGGCATCTCCTTCTAAAAACTTCTTTCACATCTCTAAAGTCTCTTATTATAAAATGGTACAAGATTTATTTCCTTTCAAAGTCTTTTTTACAAATTCCAATTTATTCCAAACATGCAAGAAATCTATTTTAATTCCAATTCCAATTCCAATTCCAATTCCAAATTCTATAGAAATTTTTGCTTCAAAACAAAGCTTGGTCCCTTTTTTGGAGTAAAATATTTTTTGTTTTTGGTGTTTTTCGGAGTTTGGCAGCATAAAAAATAGAATAAAGCATTTTTTCTAAAAAATGTTTTTCTCCATTTTTATAAAAACATTTTACGGTTTAAAAGGCGTAAGTCATTATCTAAAAAATGGCCCATTCTAACAAAATCAAAATCTTTTTTTTAAAAAATAACAATATTAGCAAGAAACTTCATGCTTAGACTCGAATATCAAAAAAAAATATATACTCTAAGTCCAACTAAATCATAAATTAGGCCTAAAAAAATATTGAAGTCATCTTTCTGTTAAATTTATAAGAAAATAACTTTACTTTATCTGCATATACCACAATACTATCACAGAATATGAAAATAAATAATAATAAATTGTAAATAAATAAGTAAATCATTTTTTTCTTCATGTACTCTTAATCCAATTATCAAATTGGTAGTTCTAAAGATTTACTTCTAAATTGGAACTGTGTATATATATTAAATAATATATACTGCTGTCATACACTACTTCTTGGAGATTTTGAAAAAGTAAGCACTAAGATATATATTAGCGCTCAATTACTTAATACTTCTGAAAACTTTAAGCCCCAAAACTCGAATAACTAAAAACTTGGGCTAAAGCTAGTGTAGCATGTTGGGCTTGGCTGTTAAAGTTGACCATAGAAGGAGTAAATTTATAAAGAGTAATGAATCTAATGATACAGATACCTTAGAGGCAGATACATTAGTCTAAATTTAGGGTAGTGAGAGATGACGTCATAAATGATATCATATTTAATGACATTATGATAATGTTATCCCTTACTTATATAAAATAATAAAATACATTTGATTTTCGAATTATTTATCATTATTTATTTATAAATTCAAATGGATAATTTACACGGACCTCCCCTATGGTTTTTCATAATTATAGGGACTTCTCTTGTAGTTTGGGAATTTATATGGACTTCCCCTAAAAATGAAACTAATCTACACGGATCTCCCTTCCTTCCTTGTGACGGACCGTTAAATGCACTAACAGACTTGTCTATTTACTTAAATGCCCTTATATTGTTATAATAAATTATTAAAGTACCCATCTATAATATATATTATATACCTAAATTATAATATATATTACATCTGATGTGCTGCTTGAAGGACGATGAGTATGACAGAGGCGCAACCGATGAGCTCGATGAGGTGGAGGACGTATATGCAGATTAGGGATTTCTTGGTGGGGTGAGTGGCATCAATGGGGTGAGAGGCATCTTCTCAATGACCCGCGCTCGCTCCGGCAATTCTCTCTGTAGTCCGACTACTGTCCATACACACACCTTAGCAGCAGCAGCAAGCAAAGAAGCCGGTGACAAGTCAACGTCCCTGCTCGTCGTAATACGAACCAGAAATTACTGATCAGAGACGACAACACCGATTTGAGTCTTTATCACCAGCATTTACATAAGCTTTGTGAATGATTATAGATGTGTTTGGTCTGTGATTGTTGAAGGGTTGCAAAGCATAGACAGAGATGGCGATTTGCAGAACATAGAGAGAGAGAGAGTGGAGTTAGGGTTAACAATTTTATTAGGCAAATTTGGGGCGATTTGCAAAGTATAGAGATATAGAGTGCAATTAAGGTTAACAATTTGATTAGGCCAATTTTGGGTGATTTGCAGAGCATAGCGAGATAGAGTGGAGTTAAGGTTAACGATTTTATTAGGCCAATTTGGAGGGCAGAGAGAGATTAATGAGATCTTCGATTCCTGCCCTTTCAATTGTAGAAGCTTCGGCCACTGTATCAAGATCTTTTCCTAGCACGGTAATTATTATGATTCCTGGCCGCTGTTCAACCATTCCCATAGATTTTTCTACAAGATGATCATCTAACGATTGTTAATCTTTTGGTTGTTGAATTGGCTTTCTCTACCCTTTAACTATAACTGTCGTCACTTTGACACGTTTTTCCCCTGGTCGGGGGCTTCCCGAGCTTGTAAGAGAGAGGTTACCAACTCTGCTCCAGCGACGAACGTACGGTTATATATATAATATATAATGGTAAGGATAAGGGTATTATGGGTATTTCACTTAATTTAGTATATGACGTCAGCACACTCCATCATTGATTGACGTTGGCTCTAATAGAAGGGAGGTTCGTGTAGGTTAGTTTCTGATGATAAGGACCCTACAATCTAACACGGACTCTAGTAGACATGGGAGTCAGGGAGTTGGATAAGCTACAATTAATAAAGCGATATGGATAAAGAGTAGTTCTCTGATCCGTATTGAACAAGTAAGGAGAAATTAATTCCCTTGTTAAATATTATAACTTACCCAATAAAAAGGGTAGTCAACCAATTCAAAAGGTATGCCAAATATCCCTAACAGAGTCCATTCATCTTCTTGGTCCTGTACTAACTTGACCGTCGGAGACTCTTAGGCCGGTACCTCACCGGTACCTTTCCGATAACTTTTTCTCTTCTATGTAGGTTACGACGTCGTTCTGGGTCGTGATAGAATCTTGCATCATCAGTTGGCGTTGTCTGTGGGAAACAAGATTAGTTTCTTAAAAAAACAATGGTTCAATTATGATCCGCAGTCTAACTCGGAAAAGGAAGCCAACACCCTTCACGCCTAGATAGTGGAAGCCATCATTAACAACATGACGGGAATTAGTCACAGCATGGTGATGGCAGCCACCATCAACAGCATCATGGCACAAATCAATCACAACATAGTGATGACAATAGCTGTCAACCACATGACGATGAGAACCAGTCATGTCACAACGATGGTCATTAATCACATCATGACGACGATCAACCTCATCGCAGGATTGACCGACCTCGCGCTAGTCAGTCTCGCGCTAGAGAAGATCAGTCCGAGCATACATCTCGTCAAGTAAAAGATGGGAAGATTGTCGCGTTAGAGCAACAAGTTCAGAACCTTACTCAAGGTATGAATCAGTTAGTCGGAAAAATGTGGCAATCATGCAACACCTAGCTATCCCTGAAAGTAAGGATGACAGCGACAGAGTAGAACATAGTCAAGCGGGAGGCCGACAGAGAGACCTGCGCACTTTCATGCCTTATTCTAAGGATATGTCTGATACCGGAGAACGCACTGAAGCAACTTACGTCGATCAGCAAATCCAGGATCTCAAATCGAAAGTGGAAGGAATGGCCCAAGCCCTAAAAGAAAAGGATCCTGGCATAGTTGATGACCTTGTTCAAAAGATGAATCTACCTTTTAGTCCTCAGATCATGGCCCTCCCATTACCAACAAAATTCAAGATGTCTCATCTTGACAGTTTCGACGGAACTCGCGACCCCCTCGACCACTTAGAAACTTTCAAGTCCCTTATGAACTTGTAAGCCATTCCAGATGAGATCACGTGTAGGGCTTTCCCTACAACACTCAAAGGGTCAGCCCAGGTTTGGTTTAATAAATTGAATCCAGGATCTATCAACGACTTTGACGAACTCAGTAAGCAGTTCATAAGGCATTTTA